TAGAGCCTTACAAGCAAAATATAAAAGGCTTTGCATGCCATGCTAAAAAAAGTTTAGATTGATATTCTTTTAAAATTATTTTACAACAACCTGGAGTAAGAATGGAAAACTGCTACTTTTTGGAGATGAACTCAGTTGGTAGCACTAACATTTTCCAGCAGGTCCTGGTTAATTGTGTCATGTAGGCTCAGTCATGAATTGGGTCAATACATTCCATATTAAACTCAGTCCTGAAGCAATTGCCTAGAAAAATCAAGGCTAAGAAGTCTCTTTTACCACACCTTAGCAAACCTTGATTACAGTCCCATGAGGAAGATAGTGACCTCCTTTACCACTAGAAAAACTAAGCCTGGAATCACTTGCTCATAGCAAACACAGTTAAGCAACAGCAAAACAAGAATTTGAAGTCAGGTGTGTGTATTGCCAAATTCTTATGCTTTTCTTTGCACTTCCTCCCTAAATTAAATTTGACTTCATTTTTTTTTAGTGCTATGGGCAATGTAGTAATAAAATTCATGAAAAATAATAACAAGTTAGTGCCTAAACTAAAATTAAACTGACCTAAGTTCCTAAAGATATTACAAGACCACTATAAGACACATGAACAGACTTCTTGAACTGCACATATGCTGCAATCTTGCCCATTGCAGACACTAAACTAGAGATATGTGAATTAGACACATAAATTTGACCAAGAAAAAAAAATCAATAATTTTTCCTCTAGCCATCTTGTCTTGGACACCTGGGGAAAATACTTTCACATCCTCAGAATCCTCACCCCAGTCCCATCACCTTTAAATACCTCCTAGTCAGCTTATGCTCTCTCTCCAACAAATGACTCTGGCTTCATGAACAACCTTGGAAGTGTTTGTGAGACACTAATGCCCTTCAAGCAATCATCACTAAATGGCAGAGAACAGAAGTATTTTGCATATTCTCAATGTCAGTGGACCTAGTTCTTTCTCCCAAAGAAATAGTGCAGGTGTACATTTATAATACAGCCTTGTGAGTTACCTGCCGTGCTTCAAAAGTTACTGAAGCACAGAAGAATCACAGAATTAAATGGAAAATTTTTGCCCACACCAGACTGAGACCCCTCTGACTTCTTCTCACCAACATCAGGGGAAGTGCCCCTCTCAATCTTCCATTGGTCACGACTAATCACCACTCCGGCTCTCTCTCAAGCTGACGTCATCATCTCCCTACTTCCATCCAGCTTGACCCCCAACCAGAATGTCAGCCTTTTCTGTGCCCTTGATTCTGATTCCCCTCTCGCTGCTGATTGGGGTTCTGGTCACAGTGCTCACTGGAGCAATTGTTCTATTTGTTCTCCCATCTTTCACCCCTCCCCAAAGTACAGTTCTCAGAATACTGTCATATTCTCATTCTCCAGTGACTAACTGATGAAACAGGATTAGCTTACCTCCAGCACGAGGGGATTTTGAGATCCAGGAAAGGAGTTGTGTTTTCAGCAGATTTCAGGCAAAAGCTGGCATTTTCAGTGAAGTCTCCATGCAGACCTTCCTTACCTTTGATGGTTATTGAGAAGTGGTATACCTGTGCAGAAGGGAAGGCATCACCTGCAACTGGAAGGGGCTGGGAAATGCTCTGTACAGCTGCCTCCTGGTTTCAATTTACCACTAATTAAAAACAGGTGCTAGCATTGCTTATGAACATTTTGTTTTAAATTAGTTGTTTCTCAGCAGAAGGGACAGACCTGTGGAACACTAGAACACTGACTAAATGCTGAGCAGTGGGAAGGGCAGGGCCATACGACACCTCTCAGCAGAGTGGGCAGGCAGAGTGGAGATTCCCAGGTAATTGGAGGCCACACAGTGACAGAGGGCTGCAGGTCAGCAATGGGTGGACCTTGGAGGGGTGGGGAAGGGGTGTGTTCATAACAACCCCTAGAAATATCAAAAAGTTATTCATACATTGGAATAGTTACAATGAGACACTGAATTTCAGAAATTAACCCTAGGATTCAATTTCTGCTAAAAAAAAAAAAAAGGCAGAGGACAAATGTGTATGACACAGCACTAAAGTACATAAATACATGTATGTATATGTGCATGTATGTATGTAAGAGATATGTATATATCACAAGGGTCAAGAAACTTAAAAGAACACATTACAGAAAAGGAAATACAAGTGGAAATATTTACAAATGAGACTCAGAGTTCCAAAACTACTAGGAGGAAGGGTCTCTGAAAATGAATTTCAGTTCCCCTAAGAAACCCGGAAAGAAATTGAGCCATGAAGGTAAAATATGAGAAAGCAGACATTAATATGGGCAGAATATTTGAAATTGAAATTGTGATCCCAGGAACCAAAATAATTTTTCCAAGAATTTCTGGGAAAAAGATAACCTATGTGGGTGAAAAACAGGTCAATAAAATAGCTTTGAATTCTTAACTAAAGTAGGTCATTCTCAAGAAGCCCGGAGATGGTGAATGACATTCACTTATGAGTCTCCGGAGCCCTGTTCAGCAGAGGCTCCAAGGGAGTGGTTGGTTCTGGGCTCATGTTGGTTATTACATGTGTCATATGAATCAATAGCTTTTGGTTAGGGGAACAAAGGGAGAAAAGACTGCAGTGTGACTCTCAAGGTCTTTCTGTGATTCTAGAAAGATTTCTTAAGCTGCCCTAATTCCTACCCTGGAGCACGCCCTTGGTGGCAGGCCTAGGTGTGAGGAGGAGGCTTTTTCCAGTCTGTGGTAGGAGGGCCAGAGTTCAAGCTCTTGATCCAGCTGCAGGTCTGAGGAAGTGCATTAAAGAGCTAGTCACAGTCATCCCCAGGGAGGGGGCTGGATGGAAATGAAGTTTTTTCTGCCACCATTGTCACTGACCAGGGCTTTGCAGAGAGAGAAGATACAACAGCCAAAGGAAGGGAAGAAGCACCTGCTGGATCTTTTTTTAGGAAAGAGAACCAGTAAGTTTCTGTGAACTCCTCAGTGGAAATGCAAGCAAAGCAATCAAAGAGTGAATTTTTCTTCTTTTTCTGTCCATAGCAGCATCTGAAAGAAATCAAAGTACACAGCATGTGAGTCTTCCTTGTTCTAATGCTGGCTGGGTTGGGTCTCCTCGAAGGATTAAAACTGTTCTGAAAAGACACTCTAGATAGCTTTTGCAAGACGTCTAAGACCTTAGGAATCACTGACCATGAGTTAGGTCTCAAATGTCAATGTCCCAGACAAATTGTTGGTAACTGACCAAAGGCGGTGCGGGGATCCTGCTGTATGTGTATCAATGAGCAAGCCATCCCCACAGCAAGAGCAAGTTCTTCTGGCAACAGGAAGTACTATACAGTTAGTAGGGTATGACACTTGAAAATTGAGGGGAAAGATGGAAGAGAGGATAGAGATGAGAGACAGAGAAAACAAGCTGCTTGGATAAGGGGGAGGATCAGAAAGAAGACCAAAAGAGGATTGAAAAGTCACAATAAAGCCCAAAGGTCTCAAATTCTGGGGTCAGTCTAGAGGGTGGGGCACAAGTTTTTTCTGGTTAGAAAAAACTAATGCAGAGGACATTAGAGGATTCTGGGGAATTGGGGTAGGGGAAAGAAATAGATGGTCAAAGAGGTCGGGTGAGGCCAAGAGTTGAGGCCATATCCAATTCCTGGTTATAGCCTGAGCTCTGCAAACTTGCTGAAAATACTGTGTGGTACCAGATAGCACCACGTACCAAGACACCATCTTATGTGATGGTTCAATTCATCACTGTGATTTAAGTCAAAGAACAAAACTCTGATCATTCTGGGTAGTAATACAGAACCAAGATGGGAGTGGGGAGGAATGCTAAAAGAATGTTCTTCAATTATGTTCATATGGAACAATGGAGAAACTCTATGTCACAGAAGAAATAGGAAAGTCTGAAAATGGAAGTCCCATTTTTTAAACTGCTAACTATACTTTAGAAGGAAAAATATTTAGATTTTGGCAAGAGGTAAGGGTGTGCACAATTATTCTCTCATTTGTAAGAACAGGATAATAATAATAATATTAGAAATGACCCAAAGAATAAAGAGGGCTAAATTGTTAATGTGCATTAAAAGATTCTGCAAAACTGACCTTTTAAGTATAATAGGAACAGTATTGAGATACAAATAAAAAATTTAGATATCTTATGCAGACAATGTTTTGTTTTATCCCACTGCTGTGCTGGGGGACTCTACCACTCAGCTATATCTCCAGCTCCAGAAAATGGGAACCGTTAAAATAATAACTACCATTTGGTGAAGGCTTGTAGTATACTAGGCACAATGGAAGATGCTTTGAGAACATTCTCAGTTAATCTTCACAGTCACTTAGAAACCTGGGTGTCATTATCCCAATTCCTTCGATGAGGCTCAGAGAGGTTAAGTAACTTGCCCATGATCTTTCCTTTAAAAAGACCTTATCACTCATGACCTATAGTCTCTTTTAAACTCTAACCCACAGAAACAATAGGAAAATGTCTTTGAATTTCTAAATTAAAAGCATTTTATAAGGCATTTTTTTCAATTCTGATGGACAAATTGGATTAACCTTACTTAGAGTGGGGGGGCAATGAATAGACTTTGATCTGTCCCAGTACTGCAATGATAACACTTCAGAAACATTTCTAGGAAAAAAGTCAGTAACATCATCTCACTTTGTAACCAGAAAATAGACTCACCCATTAGTAAACTGAGTCAATTTTTATGGCTTTTTGGCAATCTTTTTTTAAAAAAATAAAAGCTTTACTTACCCAAAGGAGCTGTGTCCAGCTCATTGGAGGAAAAAGTTGTATCACTGTCACAAAACACAATCTCAGTCCCTTAATCCAGCTCTTTTGATCTCAAAAGGTGGTAACATTCAGTTCGAGCTCACTCATCTGTAAATTGCATCACATCGTTTCTGAGTTATTTAAGAAGGAAGCTCTGTTTGGTTCCAGGCATTTTAACCTGCTAAAGGCAAGAAGAAGGGTTCACCACGTAATTTCAAAGGACTTCCACCCGCCGCCACCACCGAGAAAGCAAAATGATTGAACCCATAGGGAATCAGTATGTTGTGGCCAGGCCAGTGTACTCTTCAAATGCTTTTGGGGAAGAGCACAAGAAGAAAGAGAGACGTCACAAGACATTTCTAGATCATCTCAAAGATTTGTGTAGGTAAGATATTTTTTAAGGTACGGGCATTTGGAATAAATGAAGCACTTTCTGCTAAATTTCCTAGCTGTCAAACTGTCCTTTCTGGCTCTAGTCCATACCCAAGAAGCCTTTTCGTTTTCAGTTTCCAAACCTCCTACTCCCTGCCTGAATTGGAAAACTTAAGTGTCTAAAATGAATACCATCTCAACTATTAACACAGTATTTCCAAATCAGACAACTAACAGATGAGACAAATTCTCAATTGAAATATTCCACAATTCAAGCTGAGGATGACAAGTTCTAATTATTATGGCTAAAGAAAAGCTGGCATTTCCTTAAACAAATCTTTTGGCGGTGGCCAGGGAGCAGTCGATGTGGGCAAAAAGGTGAATATCAGTGGGAGTGAAATTGCTACTTTAATCTGTTGTCGTCCCTATCAATTTTCCACCTACAATTAGGTATTAAACTTAAAATGTGATATTAATTGACTGACCTCCGGGCTTTCAATGTTTTCAGATGTTCCACACAAAAGGTCAAGAGAATCGTCATGTCTTTGTTCCCCATAGCATCTTGGCTACCAGCGTATCGGATAAGAGAATGGCTGCTCAGTGACATCGTGTCTGGTATCAGCACAGGACTGGTGGCTGTACTCCAAGGTAACATTTTTTTCTAGTCTTTTCTTTTAAGATATATTCATGTACCATAAAATTCATGTTATAGTTCTAGGGTTTCATTTGTTTGTTTGTTTTTGAGGTGCTGGGGATCAAACCCAGGGCCCAGGAAGAAAGCTAGGTAGGCATGCCTACCTCTACCACCCTTTTGATATGTACAGTTAGTGGGTTTTAGTATATTCATCAGGTCGTGCAGCTAACACCACTGATGCCATAACATTTTGATCCCTCTAAAAAAATCCTTTACCCACTAACAGACATTCCACCTTCCCCTCCACTCGTCCTCCCAATACCATCTTTGTGTCTCTATGGATTTTTCTACTCTAGATAGCTCACATAAATGGAATGGTAGAACATGTGGTACTTTGTGTTTGATTGCTTTCCCTTAGCATAACATTTTCCAGGCTCATCCACATTGTCACATGGACACATAATATTCTATCATATAGACTGTATATGTCGACACTTTTTTTGACATTTGAGTAGTTTCTACTTTGAGGAGAGTATGATATTCTGTATAATATTATGAACAATTGTGTACAATTTTTTATGTAAACCTATGCTTCAGTTACCTGAGCATCCCTAGGAGTGTAACTGCTGGCTCACGCCACATGGGGAGCTGCTCGAAGATTTTCTTTTCTTCTTATTTTTTATTTGTTTATTTTCACATGTGCATACATTGTTTGGGCCATTTCTCCCCCTTCCTCCCCACTCCCTCCCTCTCCCCCCACCCCACCCTCCCTCACTTCCAGGCAGAACCTGTTCTGCCCTTAGCTCTAATTTTGTTGGAGAGAAGACATAAGGAAGATTTTCTGAAGAAGCTGTAGTGATGAGGATTTGGAATCTCCACAATCTCACTGCTTGCTGTTGTCTGGGTAGTATTGATGTATCTTTAGGAAAATGGTATTCAAATCCTTTGTCTAGGCAAGCCCTCTACCACTGAGCTGCACCCCCAGACCCCTTCCCCCTTTTTAAAATCAGATTGTTCTTCTTTCTTTTGTGGAGTCACAAAGGTTATTCACATATTCTGGATACTAGACCCTTATCTGATATACACTTGCAAATAATTTCTTTCATTCTGTGGGTTGTCATTTCACTTACTTCTTAGTATTCTTTTCTTTTTTTTTTTATTGTACTAGGGTTTGAAGTCAGGGCCTCATGCTTGTTAGGCAGGCACTGTACCACTTGAGTCACCACATCCCCAACCCTTTTTTTTTTGCTCTTAGTTACTTTCCACGTAGGTCTCATCTTTTTGCAGGGTACTAACCTCAGGCTGCGATCCTCCTACCTATGGCTTCCCAAGTAGCTGAGATCATAGGCATGTACAACTACATCCAGCTTATTGGATGAGACAGGGTCTCACTAACTTTTTGCCCAGACTTGCCTCAAACCTCATCCTCCCAAATCCCTGCCTCTGAGAGGCCGTGATTATAAGCAGGAGCCACCATGCCCAGCCCCTTAATAGTATCCTTTGAGTACAATTTTTTTATTTTGATGAAATCAGTTATCTATGTTTTTCTTTGTTTATACTGTCATTTCTAAGAAATTGTTGCCTCCTTCAAGGTCAAGAAATTTAAATCTTTGATATATTTCTTGTTAATAAGGTAACTGGTTTTAAAGGCACAATCTTAAATACAGAGGAACCTAATAAGAATTCTGTGATTCCCTTGCATAAAGTAAGACCCCTGCTGCTTGTGTTTACAGGTTTAGCATTTGCTCTGCTGGCCACCGTCCCCCCACGCTATGGGTTGTATGCGGCCTTTTTCCCAATCCTAACCTACTTTATCTTGGGGACTTCTAGACACATATCTGTGGGTAAGTGAGTTACTGAGCTGATTCAGGCCCATGTTGCTTTTCTTTTATAAATTCTAGTAGCCATACACTGTACTGATTCCAGACTGTTTATAATTCATGAAAAGAGTCATAGTTTTCTGTAAGAATTAGAACTGGGGTTTGGGAAGGAGAATTGAGCTACACAGGGACGTCTTTTTGAAAGACTGATTTGCTTTAGGGAGGCACAGACTGACCACAACTCGCCCTCTGTCAATTAGGTCCGTTTCCAGTTCTGGGTATGATGGTGGGAGCAGTAGTTACAAGGGTAGCATCAGATACTGGGATCATGACAGACTCCTTTAATAGCTCCGTGAGTAATGAGTCATTACTGGAGGAAAGGAAGATAATGGTGGCTGCATCAGTCACAGTCCTTTCTGGAATCATTCAGGTGAGTACCTTCTCATGTACTCTGCCAGCCACAACCTGCCTGTCCTGACTGCTCCACATCTTTCTGTTTTCCCTCCCTCGTGCTATCACTCTTTGTCTTCCCTTTACCCCTCATCACAGCCAAAGTGGTGAGGGTGAAGGGCACTTCCACATCTCAAAAAGCAAATGAGTGAATGTGGGTCTAGATCAAAGGAAAATGCCAACAGGGTGGCATAAGTGATAAGGAATGATGCTTCATTCAATAAATCACCTTGGAGTTGGTATAGTCAAGAAAAGTAACTATCCACAGGTAATGGTGGTGCTAGTGGCTTTGGAATTTTATTCTTTCTAACTCCCCAACAACCAGAATCTAGTTGGAAGAGATGGGGGATTTTTCACTTTGAACTGTCCAATCAAAGATTTAGGGAAAACTAAAGAGGATTATGGTAGAGCCTAAAACCTCACTCCTAACCAAAGCACTGACACCATCTTGAATAATTAAAATTCAGGGACTTTTCAAGATGTTGCTTAAGTTGACAGTTAGTGATATTATTGGTTAAAATAATTTCTTAAAGAAAAAAAAGTCTTCAAGAGAGTGCATGTCCTACTGACAAACCTTGTGGCCCATTGTTTCTAATACAGCTCTAAAACTAAGTACAGAAATAGAACCCAACTGGAATTTGCACATCCACAATTCTGTCTGCATTCTGGACACATCAGTGGAAAGATAGGCCAAGTGTCCAAGGGAAGGAGAAATCACTCAAGAATTCACACCAATGTTTTGGGGGCAATTAGCCATGCTTATCCTCTAACTAGAAGTAAGCATTTCTGATGTCTAGCACACAGTTAATGTTAAGCAAGTTGATCGACTTGTTTGAGGAAATATGAATGGACAATCACCCAAGCATATTACAGCAGCAAGGAAAAGTACAACTGCAGATCTACGAAGGCTGAGGCTAGATAAGATTCTGCTCTGAAAGGTTCATGGTGAAATCTTCTAAAGACACCCCACCTAAAAAAAGGGGGAGAGGGATAAGCCTGATACTTCTTGGGGTATTACTGGACTTACATCCTATTTGAACACCATGTCACTTTCCACCTGGGGGGGGTGGTATGAGGAGGGGAGGAGAGGAGGAGCCCTGAATCAGGGAGGCGTTCCAGGATGCAGAGACATCAGCTTCTCCAACCATGTACAAGCAAGCTGAACTTTATAGTTTGAATCATTTCCATTAGTTTGCTGGAGCATGCTCCTAATCTATGCTACCAAAGATTTTTGTCCTTCTCTTCCCAGTTGCTTTTGGGGGTCCTGCAGATCGGATTTGTGGTGATCTACCTATCCGAGTCCCTAATCAGTGGGTTTACCACAGCTGCTGCCATTCACGTTTTGGTTTCTCAACTCAAATTCATGCTACAGCTGACAGTCCCAGCCCACACTGACCCATTCTCAATTTTCAAAGTGAGTATTCCTTTCATGTCATGTTTCTTAGAGAGCCTTCCTCTAATGCTTCTGTTGAGGGGCTTTACTTACAATTTCCCAGAAATCAATGGGTCGTGAAATTATTCCACATTAAGCAAAAGTTAGTGAAAAAAAAAAGAACAATACTAAAAATCAACACATCTACCAGACAGTGAATATTAACAACCAAGATCAAGACAGGCTTCTCTTAGCGTTGACTCTTAAGTATTTTCAAAAAGAAAATATATAACCGAAGTGGATTATTAAAACTTTGCTATTATGTTCTGAGTTTAAAATTTTCTCAAAGTCTTATTTTGAAAAAATTTATTTATTAAGTTATATGTTTTGCTATTTCACATAAATCAAGTCTTTTAGAATTTAAGTTTTTAGGTTTTTCTTTTCTTGTGATGCTAGCAATTGAACCCAGGGCCTCACATATGTAGCCCTCTACCTCTGAATTACACTCCTGGCTTTTATTGACGCTTCTACGTCCTTTATGTGCCACTGTTTATAAAGCAAAAGGAAACTAACCAATAGGTAGTCAGGGCAGTGGTTCTCCCCTCCTCCAGAGGATGCAAAGTAGAAGTATTAAAAGAAAAAATTATAATTTGTAGGGCTGGCAGAGTGGCTCAAGTGGCAAGAGTGCCTGCCTAACAATCATGAGGCCCTGAGTTCAAACTCCAATGCTACCAAAGGAAAAAAAGCCAACCTTAGAGCCAGGTACTGGTGGTTCACACCTGCTATTCAGGAGGCAGAGATCAGGAGGATCGCAGTTCAAAGCCAACCTGGGCAATTAGTTCACGAGACCATATCTCGAAAAAACCCATCACACAAAAGGACTGGTGGAATGGTACAAGGCATAGACCCTAAGTTCAAACCCTGGTACTGCAAAAAAAAAAAAAAAAAAAAGACTGGTTTTGTGAATTTTAATTGGCTTTATTTGCAATCCTAGAATCAAGCAGCAGAGCAGCAGTCTGTACCAATAATGGTTCAGAATGCTATATCCCACCATGTGGCCTGGTTACATATGGAGCCAGAGAAAAGGAAGTGACATACAGAAAAACTGAAGTGAGGTACAGAGACAGCCAAACTAGTTGCAGCTCATTTACAACTCATGACTATTTAAATATGGTTCAGACAGTTGGTCACTTATGATTGGCAGCTACTTGTTACAAGAGTAGGTAACATTCACATTACACATCGAGTTAGGTTACTATAAAAGGAGAAATCTTTAGGCTAAATCGAAATGTGTACAGAAGCAGCTTTAGGCCAAACTTAATTCCCCCTTTTTGCTCAACCTTTTAATTTTGAGAGATTGACCAAACTTTGAGCATTGACATCATTCAATCACCATCATAAATGAATTTATATGGTCTCAAATTCCACTGGAAAATATCAGAACAGTGGGCCTAGAAAGGTGGCAACCAGAAAACATAACAATAAGGAAAAAAAATGGCCAATGGCAAGCTACTTCTAGATAATCCTTTACCCCCAATACCCCAAGGGTTAATGTAGAGACAACTATCTTTTGAAGCTAACTCAGACTGGAATCTCCTGTTTTTTGGGGAGAGGGCTCCTTTTGTGTTTTGCGATCTCTCTGCTTCCTGAAAGTTTCAGTTCAGTTATGTGTATTTAGCATGAGTGATGCATTTGGATTGGTCTGGTCTATTGCACAGAGTGTAGGAGCTCAGTACAAAACAGTGACTTCTTATAATTTTTTTTAACAACAGACCATGTTCTCAGTACTTCTATCAGGATAGTCTTTGAGAGTTTGAACAGATCTTGCTACTCCAGAGGTGGGGTATTCTGGGTAATTTGGGACCCAGCTTAGACATGTTTGAGCTGTCCAGGGCCTGTGGATATGGAACCCAACTGGCTTCAAGCAGTAAAACTCTGTACAGCACAATTTGGAAACTATTTTCCCAAAATGACCTAGAAAATCAGTTAAGAAATGTGAGGGATTTGAACATTTAAAATCTAGCATTTAAGGGGATATATGCTTTAAAAAATTCTCAGGGATTAGAAGTTATTCATTGGACAGAACAGTAGTGATGGTTGTGAAATAAAAATAATGGACAGAGACCTAGGGACAGAAGAAATCTGTTGTAAAAAATGTGAAAAATATCCAACAAAATTTGACACAAGCCAGAGACCTTCTCAGAAAAACATGACAGAGGCATCTCTAAACTGGTGTGTCACCTACACTGCTAATTTATCCTTTCACTCTCCATGCCTGTCTCTACATTTGATATTCTTGTATTTTAAATTGTAGGTCCTGAAGTCCGTATTCACCCAAATAGAGAAAACTAACATTGCAGACCTTGTGACATCCTTGATCATCCTACTGGTTGTATTTGTGGTTAAAGAATTAAATCAGCGCTACAAAAGCAAACTTCCAGTGCCTATTCCCATCGAATTCATTGTGGTAATCAACTGTCTGAAGAATTTCTGTCCTAGTCTAGTGTGTTCATGTCAAAAACCCTTCAACCATCTGTACAGCAGGTTTAGTGGGGCCCAGAACAACTGTGCAGTTTCTGAATACAATGTTTAGGAGGGTTTTCTCTTCATTCAGAATTTAATAGCTTTCTCTTAGGATTTTGGCATTATTCGTTCAAAATAAGTCAAGAAAGGTGCAGAGAGCAAGACCTCTAAGACCAAACAATGCACTGACCCATCTCAGTTAGTGCTGGGGGTCTCTACCCCAATAGCCAGTGAGAATTGCCTCAGGATTTCTTTAAAACTAACACAACCCAGGCTGGGCTTAGGCAATGATTTTTTTTTTCCTAAGTATGACTCGTAGTTGAATCTCACATTTCTAACTTAGGCAATTTGCAACTTTGCAGACCGTGATCGCAACAGGTGTATCCTATGGCTTTGACTTCGAACACAGGTTTAACGTGTCTGTGGTTGGAGAGATGAAAAGTGGGTAAGTGTGCCTTCCGTGCTAAACTCCAAGCACTAGTAGAAAGTAAGCATCTGCAGCGTAAGGGAGGCTCATTGTGCTTTCAAGGACGCAGCTACGGGAATGTCAGGTCCACTGTACTTAATATCAGGAAGTTTCTCCTTGCTCAGAAGCCAGGCAACAAAAGTAAAAATTAGGAAAGTAGTAAAAATAAATCAGTTCTGCTTATAAGGAAGCATCAATGAAATCAGATTTCCTTGTCTATAAATGACTATAAACAGCATGTAGTGCTTTGTTTAAGGTTACCAGAGCCAAGATCCAAGAGTTCAAAAGAGACAATGAGGGCACACCGCTTTAACAACCCAGATAGGTACGCTCTGTCCTTTCTCGTGATCAAATTCAAAACAAAGCCAGAGAGCCACTTTAAGCACCACAAATGAATGGGAAGCCCAGTTTGTTCAAGGAATTGAAAATATGTTCTGTTACATATAGTAGATTGAGAAGGGAACCCAAGTTTGTGCTCTCTTTTCTATCTCTGCCCTCTGATCATAGATAGTATCTGTTTCTTTCAACTTCCCTACTAAGGAAAGATTTTCTTCCTGCTTAATCCTAGAAATCAGCATTTATATGTATAGTCTTGAAAATACTCAAAAGCAAGCTGGGTGAGGTGGCTCACACCTGTAATCCCAGCTACTCAGGAGGTGGAGATAAGGAGGAGCAAGGTTCAAGGCCAGCCTGGGTAAAAAATTAGTGATAACTCCGCCCCCATACCCTGATCTCAACAAATAAGCTGAGTGCCATGGTACATCTGTAACTCACCTACACGGGAGGCTATAGGTAAGAGGGCAGATCACAGTCTCAGACCAACCCTGGGCAAAACTGAGAAACCCTACCTGAAAAATAACTAAAGCATAAAAGTGCAGGTGACATGACTCAGGTAGTAGAGTGCCTGACTAGAAAGTGTGAAGCTATGAGTACAAGCCCTAGTACCTCTAAAAAAAGAAAAAAAAATCAAAGCAATATGGTTTGTGGGACTGGGATTTGAACTCAGCTCTATTGCTTCAGCCATACCTCCAGTCCATTTTGCTCTGCTATTTTGGAGGTGGGGGAATCTCATAAACTATTTGCCCAGACTGGCCTCAAACTGCCATCTTCTCAATCTCAGCTTCCCAAGTAACTAGGATTAAGGGCATATGCCACCTGTGCCAGGCTCCAAAGCAAATACTTTTAAGAGGAGATATGTGTATGATTTTTAAAGCAAAAATATATTTTATTGCCAGATTTTCATGTGTTCTACTTAATGAATTGCAAGTATCATCTTTCATTTAAAAAGTTGCAAAATGGAAACTAGGCTGAAACCAAAAGGCTGTTTTTAGGGTTTCTCTCCTTCCTACAATTTTCAAATGATTACATTTAATTTAAATGTCTAAGGAGATATAAGCCACATTAAAAAGTAAACAAATGCAAAATCAAAGAGGGTCTTGTCAAAGTGGAAGGGTTTTGAAAATAAATGATAAACTTTAGATAACCCAGTGATAATCCTGGAGAGATTATTTAGTAAAAGCTCTAAATGTCAACAGTCCTTTCTCCACCACGTGTGGGGCAGAGAAGGAGCTAGTTCTCATTTACTAACCATCACACTCTTCAGAGAGGCAGTGTGACCTAGTGTAAGCTCACGCATTCCAGCTCCATGACCCTGAGCAAATTACTAAACGTGTCTCAATCAACTTAATTGTAAAAATGGGGCTAAAAATAATAGCGATCACAAAGGATTTAGAAGAGTTAATGCATGAGACATGGTTAAGTGTCTTGCCAACAATTAGTGTTCAAACCACATTACTGCTATTGCTAATTTACCACCTAAGTTAGGTACAAGGCACTCTTTTTTTCTAAGTAATGATTGGGCATTTTTTAAATTTCTCTTGATTGAAAATAGAATATTACTAGAAGGTAATGATTATTAATTATTGCTAATCTGCCACCTTAGAAATTATTTTGTGAGTTCACCCACATTAAAAGCAAATAACTTGACCCAATGGAAGTGCTAGTTGAAATAGTAAAGGAAACACAGAAGATGCACTTAGATTCCAGAGGGATCTTATAAAAATAGAGAGTGGGCACTTTGTATTTCCCAGGGTGTGAATAGTACTCACATTCATTATTTTATCTGATCTTCCCACAAAGCTTTGAAGAGAAGAGAACAGATGTTATTATCTCACTTTACAAATGAGGAAAATGCAGTTCAGTGAGGATGAATCAGTGGCAGAGCCAAGAAATGAAGTCTTGGGGTTGTAAATCTCCATCACACCACTCTGTGGTGTTCAGAAGCCAAAACAAAACAATAATAGTAGGGTTCTGGTTATTTTGGTACAAAGTTCAGCCTTTAATTGTATTGCTGATATTAGATTTCTTTTTAAAAATAACTTTGCAAGCTAACTTTCCAATTTGTAATATCAGCAGGTATGGAATAATAGTACTTCTTCAAAACTAGAGCTGAAAATTTATGATCGAAGCTATTCATAAAACATGGACAAACAAGGCAGAAAAAGATGACTGGGCCCAATTAAGCCACCTCCAATAAGTTTTAGGTCAAAAGCAGATGTTTATAGAAACTGAGCATTTTAGTAAATTAATTTTGAGTTTGAGATGTGCACCTTTACTAATGCCCCTAGTAAATATATTTAACAGCTCTCAGCTCATGAGGCATAAGCACCCTATAAGGTGCACATTTCTCTGACACTTGATCACTTTCAACTAAAATCCACTCTCCATTGGGTCATGGTTGGCTCTGGCAGATCTGTGGAGTGCAGGACAGATGTCTTTTGTAGGGGTCTTCCATGAAAGGTTACTGTCAATGCAGAGAAGACTTTGTTACTTACTTTCCTTATCTCAGAATTGTGTTTGCTCAAAGAGCCTTCATCCATGGATCACTATTAGAGGCATTGTGGAGGATGCTTTGCAACCCAACACACAATACAAGTGAAATCTAAACCACTTTGCACCAAGCTTACAGGGATATAGCATATATAAAAGCATGGGGATGCTGGCAAGATCACATCCAGCTTACCCTTATCATTGGCCTAGATCCTCAGTGTTTCATCAAATCCAGGCAGCATTGCTTTGTAGCAGTAAAGTGGCAAATTCCAAAGTTTTCAAAGAGACTAAATTCTTATAAGTTATACTCCAAAGTAAGACATGGCTCCTAGATCACATCCATTCATTGACTTGCCCCATATTCTTATGAGTTTATTAATAAGTTGGTGACATTCAGATCTGCTAAATTTCAATTTCAGATTTCATCCCCCTATTACACCTGATGTGAAGGTTTTCCAAGCCACCATAGGAGACGGCTTCAGCATTGCCATCGTGGGCTTCGCAGTGGCCTTTTCAGTTGCCAGAGTCTATTCCCTCAAGTACGATTATCCAATTGATGGCAATCAGGTAAGTATTCAACCTTTTCTGGGTCTAATTAGACATTTTAACATTTTGTGCACATAATAGTCTTCTAAAAAAAAAAAGAAGATGCTTCTAAAAAAATTTCCTCCTTGTTCACCTGTCAGGAGTTAATAGCATTGGGAGTGAGTAACATATTCGCTGGGTCATTCAGAGGATTTGCAGGGAGCACGGCCCTCTCCAGATCCGGGGTTCAGGAAAGCACAGGAGGCAAAACACAGGTATTTTGGTGTCTTTGCTGCAAGGGCCATCTTAACATTTAAAACTGGGAAATCCAAGTCAGAAGAGAAGGGTATGTCATGAGAATTGCTTTGTCTTCACAGATTGCTGGCATTGTCTCAGCTATCATTGTGCTCATTGTCATTGTAGCCATAGGATTTCTTCTGCAACCACTACAAAAGGTAATTCTCCTCTCTCTTTGGATTACATCTCTCTCCTTGAGGTGATAAACCTTTGGCTCTCAAATTCTGAAAGCATCAACTAAACTAGGGAAAATGAAGTAATGACAAACTCTCAAGAATTCTCCTTAACCAGTATTCAGTGAGGCAAAACTATTTCCTTTCTCCTGGCAGCGTTTTCTGAATGTTAGGAATGCAGATGGCCCCAACTACCTTATCTGCTCTGCTCTCTGCATGTGCGTAGGGCAGAATATAATTAATGCTTAAAGGGAAGACGCTCTGGCGCTGCCGCTTCAACCTGGATTCACTGAAGTAAGGATTTTCTTAAAGCTCTAGATAATCAGGCCTCTATCTAATGCTGAGAATGGTGCTACCAGCCACACAACCTGGTCTCAGGAATACACCCTGCAACTCCTAGAAGTTTGGTTTGACTCCAAAACCAACAAGTATGGGAGCAAACAGCCAGACACAGGCCTTACCTCTTTATCTTCATGCTCCCCTCTCTGTGACTGTGAGGGGTTAGCTTCTTGTTTATAAATTGCAGTAGCACCTAGATTTAAAAAATAACGTCAGCTCCTGGAAAATACAGGATCACTAGGAAACCAAGTACATTGTTCCTTATGGTTTTAATATGCTTTTGAGGGGGGTCAGGAGCCCTGTAGACCTACTTGTAATCCTGGCTCTGCCATGTAATATCTGTGTGCTTTTGGCCCACCGTCTCTCTGAACTGCCAGTTCTCTGCTTGTAAAACAGGAAGGGAAATAGTATCCTCCCCACAGAGTAGCTGAGAAAATTAAATGAGATAATGCCCAATAGTACTTAACCCAGGTCATTTGTATCATCAATGCTCTGTTACACTGTCTACAAAGTACATAGAGCTGTGATCCAGTCCTCTGATGTCTGTTGGTTCTTATCTTAGCGCCTTTTTTTATGTTGGTTGGTAGCTGAAATGTGAAGTCAGTTCCAGGGTTCTGACTTCCAGTGTGACATCCCAAAGAGTCTTGTTGGACAGATCTGTCCAACAACTGCCAAGGAAGAAGTCAAGAAGTCACCAGCAGGGTCTGGTGGAGTTGCTCAAGTCACAGAGCCACTCAGCATGAAGCCCTGAGTTCAAACCCAATACCACTAAAAAAAGAGAAGTCACCAGCAAAGAAATCATACCTACTTAATCCTTTATATCAATTACAATGTGGATGCCAGGTACCTGGTAAAATCACCCCCCCTTTTTTTTCTATGGTTTCTCAGTGCGCTGTATGCTTTACAAGTACTCTGTTGAATATTTTTATTTCATGGTGCATTGACCAGCTGGGAAATAATGCCTAATGAAAAAAAATATGCCTCTAACATGTGGCACTTGACATATTTTTAAGTCCTGCAAAATGATGAAGTTGATGGTACAGAGTCCTATAAACCCTTCTCCAGTGACCACAGTGGTGACACCTCTTATAGCTGTATACAATATCAAAACCAGGACACTGACATAAGTAAAGTGCTGTTGAGTAGATTATAGACTTTATTCAGTTTCCTCCATTTTTAACTGGCACTCATTTGCATGCAGTTTTCTTTTTAAAGTTATTTAAGACTATTATTTCTTCTAAATAATTACCTGAATCAAATTAACTACTTAGATAGTAAAATATAAAAGTTACTTATGAAGATTAAAAATACCTACCTGGGTCAGTTAAGCAATCTTTGAAATATGAAAATAAAAGCTGTGTTTGGTTTTCTTTGGATACTGTGCTTTTGTGGTATGAAAATAGTCAGTGTATAAATTGCATACTCCACTCGGAATGGAGCAGCTTGAAAGGTGGGTGGAGGAGGGGGTTCCTACCATTGTTTTGGATTCCAAACAAGGATGGTATGCTTGCCATTCAGCATTTTTCACCTCAACTAGCACCACTCCCACAGAGCAATGCTAGCATTCTTCATGTAAAGAACAGGAAGCCTGATGCTTGTGTGGCAGGCTGATTTTACAATCCTGGACCCTCTTAGTGAATCCACCATTCAATGATTGTCAACATCGTGGCTTCTTAAGAGGCTGTGTTGTGTGTGCTTATTACCAATGTGAGGAATTTTAATTCATTAGATCATCCACTTATTCATGGAATATTTATTCAGCCCTCCTTTAGTACATTACCATAGTGCATTCTAGGGATACAACATGGAACAGGACAGAGTCTGCTTAAAGTCTTTGTTAACCTCTCTGTGATCTTTAGCTTCCTCTTACAAAATGGCATGATTGCTAGTTATCAACAAAGGTTTGAATTCTTTTTTTTTTCAAAGCACAAGCCCCATCTCCTGAAATTCAGTCAACAGATGCAAGACTGGCTCTGCTTGGAAAGAATTTATTCCAGTACTTACCTGCCATAGGTCTTAAGATCTGCTTTTCTCTGTCCCAAGGTGCATGTTCTTAAACACTATCAGATCATCTATGGCATAACCACAAGGAGTGGTTCAGCCTTGTCACTATGGTGGAGACAACCTCATGCAGGGGACAGGTCAGAGTCCCAGCTCTGGTGTGTCTAGCATGACATTGCACACCAGAAAAGGGTGTATCCCTTGATATGCTTTGAGGCCCACTAAGGGACTCACATATCTGTAGCCTTCACCTTTGCTTCTACATTGTTTATGTGATTAACCTAAAGTACATCTGGTGTTTATGTTTTTCAGTCTGTTCTGGCTGCTTTAGCTCTTGGAAACTTAAAGGGAATGCTGATGCAGTTTGCTGAAATAGGCAGATTGTGGCGAAAGGATAAATATGACTGTGTAAGTAGACACAATGGCATTTGAGGAAGTGAAATCAGAATGGCAGTTTAATGCTGATGTAAAAGGCATAATTATATTGCAAGCTATGTCAAATTTTGTTTTGATGCATCTGCTTGAAATAACCTTAGTTTATTTTATTTGCTGTCTTTAAATTGCATATTCTAGCAAACATTCTTTCAGATTTTTTTACTTAAAAGGATGGGCTCCAGTGGGGCATGGTGGTGCAGGCCTGTAATCCCAGCACTCAAGAGACAGAGACAAGAGGATCTTGAGTTAAGAGGCCAATGTAGACTATATAGCAAGACCATATTTCAAAATAATAGCTAGCTAGTTAAGCAAATAAATAGGTGCTCTAAATAAATAAGTGGATGAATGGGCTCCTGCAAGTAGAAAGTTCTTCACAAACACTAGTGCAGACTTCCTCAGACCTAGTCTAATAATTCTTGCAGTCATCCTGCATTGTCACAGAAACTCTGAATTTTAAGGCATGCGTTGCTTCTGTTCTTCATTATGTAATATATTAGTTTCTGAAGACCCTGTGAGGAATTTAAATTCTGAGCATTCCTTCTGGAAATACTCTTTCTTTTGGAGTATTATAAAAGAGTATTCTCTACAAATAGGTAAAGAAACGGTCAAAATATCCCTATTTGCAGACGACATGATCCTATACCTTAAAGACCCAAAAAACTCTACTCAGAAGCTTCTAGACATCATCAATAGCTACAGCAAGGTAGCAGGATATAAAATCAACATAGAAAAATCATTAGCATTTCTATACACTAACAATGAGCAAACTGAAAAAGAATGTATGAAAACAATTCCATTTACAATAGCCTCAAAAAAAATCAAATACCTAGGTGTAAACCTAACAAAGGATGTGAAAGACCTCTACAAGGAAAACTATAAACTTCTGAAGAAAGAGATTGAGGAAGACTATAGAAAGTGGAGAGATCTCCCATGCTCATGGATTGGTAGAATCAACATAGTAAAAATGTCGATACTCCCCAAAGTAATCTACATGTTTAATGCAATTGCCATCAAAATTCCAATGACATTCATTAAAGAGATTGAAAAATCTACTGTGAAATTTATATGGAAACACAAGAGGCCACGAATAGCCAAGGCAATACTCAGTCAAAAGAACAATGCTGGAGGTATCACAATACCTGACTTCAAACTATATTACAAAGCAATAACAATAAAAACAGCATGGTACTGGCACAAAAACAGACATGAAGACCAATGGAACAGAATAGAGGACCCAGATATGAAGCCACACAACTATAACCAACTTATCTTTGACAAAGGAGCTAAAAATATACGATGGAGAAATAGCAGCCTCTTCAACAAAAACTGCTGGGAAAACTGGTTAGCAGTCTGCAAAAAACTGAAACTAGATCCATGTATATCACCCTATACCAAGATTAACTCAAAATGGATCAAGGATCTTAATATCAGACCCCAAACTCTTAAGTTGATACAGGAAAGAGTAGGAAATACTCTGGAGTTAGTAGGTATAGGTAAGAACTTTCTCAATGAAACCCCAGCAGCGCAGCAACTAAGAGATAGCATAGATAAATGGGACCTCATAAAACTAAAAAGCTTCTGTTCATCAAAAGAAATGGTCTCTAAACTGAAGAGAACACCCACAGAGTGGGAGAAAATATTTGCCAACTATACATCAGACAAAGGACTGATAACCAGAATATATAGGGAACTTAAAAAACTAAATTCTCCCAAAACTAATGAACCAATAAAGAAATGGGCAAGTGAACTAAACAGAACTTTCTCAAAAGAAGAAATTCAAATGGCCAGAAAACACATGAAAAAATGCTCACCATCTCTAGCAATAAAGGAAATGCAAATTAAAACCACGCTAAGATTCCACCTCACCCCTGTTAGAATAGCCATCATAAGCAACACCACCAACAACAGGTGTTGGCGAGGATGCGGGGAAAAAGGAACCCTCTTACACTGTTGGTGGGAATGTAGACTAGTACAACCACTCTGGAAAAAAATTTGGAGGCTACTTAAAAAGCTAGACATGGATCTACCATTTGATCCAGAAATACCACTCTTGGGGATATACCCAAAAGACTGTGACACAGGTTACTCCAGAGGCACCTGCACAACCATGTTTATTGCGGCACTATTCACAATAGCCAAGTTATGGAAACAGCCAAGATGCCCCACCACTGACAAATGGATTATGAAAATGTGGTATCTATACACAATGGAATTCTATGCAGCCATGAAGAAGAACGAAATGTTATCATTCGCTGGTAAATGGATGGAATTGGAGAACATCATTCTGAGTGAGGTTAGCCTGGCCCAAAAGACCAAAAATCGTATGTTCTCCCTCATATGTGGACATTAGATCAAGGGCAAACACAACAAGGGGATTGGACTATGAGCACATGATAAAAGCGAGAGCACACAAGGGAGGGGTGAGGATAGGTAAGACACCTAAAAAACTAGCTAGCATTTGTTGCCCTTAATGCAGAGAAACTAAAGCAGATACCTTAAAGTAACTGAGGCCAATAGGAAAAGGGGACCAGGTACTAGAGAAAAGGTTAGATCAAAAAGAATTAACCTAGAAGGTAACACCCACGCACAGGAAATCAATGTGAGTCAATGCCCTGTATAGCTATCCTTATCTCAACCAGCAAAACCCCTTGTTCCTTCCTATTATTGTTTATACTCTCTCTACAACAAAATTAGAAATAAGGGCAAAATAGTTTCTGCTGGGTATTGGGGGGGGAGAGGGAGGAGGCGGAGTGGGTGGTAAGGGAGGGGGTGGGGGCAGGGGGGAGAAATGAACCAAGCCTTGTATGCACATATGAATATAAAAGAAAAATGAAAAAAAAATTGGAAAAAAAAAAGAGTATTCTCATGTCTTGCTATGAGAAGTAGAGTCCATATCTAATCAGGGTCAAAGTCTGTGGTGTAAAAATAACTTGTCTACATACCCTATGATACATGAAGAGCATAAATTAATAAGCTGCACGTGTTTGCTGCTGTTCCAGGTAGATCACACTGTTGGGGAGGGGTTGGTCCTTTTTGGCATACTAAAATTTTTGTAGAGTAGTAGCCATTCATTAAATCAACAGGCCAAGAGTAAAATTAGTATAGGCTTTCCCAATTAATTTGATGAGTTTTTTGGGGGACTGGAGGTTGCAGTGTTGGGAATTGAACCCAGGGCCTGGTGCATACTAAGCACATGCTCTACCACTGAGCTATATGCCCAGTTTTCATTTTCTGATTTTAATGAATAGGCTTGTTCTGGAATTTTTGTTATGACAGAGAGAAGACCCAATCCCATTTCCTTAAGTGGGTTAGGGCTGGGATTAGAAATAAACACACAGAGTAATAGAGAGGGGGTGAATTTGATCAAAATCCATTATGTGCGTGTATATAAATATCACAGATAACCCTTTGTATACTTTATACTAATACAATTTTTTAAATATATAACATTTTTGTGGAATTAAAGAATACTGAACTAGCATTTCTATATCAGCTATTTATAAATATTTGAGATGATTACGAGTAAGCACAGTTCAAAATATGGATGTAAAAGTAATTTTAAAGAGATTAATGCTGATGAAAATTCAAATAATTTTTTAAAAGTTAAGTAACTGCTTAAAAAAAATAATACTCTCCATGGATCTTCTTATATTTGATTGTGTTTCTGTGGCCCAGAACCTGAGCCTACAGAATGACCTCTTGAGACAGGTGTTCTCCTACGTACTTTGCTCCCTGACCCAAAATAACAACTTCTAACCTCTGCTTTTGGCTCAGTAGCCCATGCTTTGTCATAGCCCTGGACCTAAGACATTGTATTTTACTTAAATTATAGTGCATGTGTTGCTTTCTTTTTACAGCTAATTTGGATCATGACCTTCATCTTTGCCATTGTCCTGGGACTCGGGTTAGGCCTGGCAGCAAGTGTGGCATTTCAGCTCCTAACCATCGTGTTCAGGACCCAATTGTGAGTGCTCTGCATCCTGGCAGGCTTTCACCTGCCCAATCAGAAGAGTAAAACTCTTCATCACTGCTTAAGAGAAAAGTAGTTTGGTTGTTAGGCATACTATCATCTCTATCAGGACCAGCGGGAATAGACTTCTCAGGTTGCTCACCTCAAGGCCTGAAGGTTGATAGAATGCACCACCAGTCCAGGAAGGAGACCTGTTTGGGCACCAGTTCAAAAAATCATATATTTCTCTGTGTCTATTGCTCACCAGTAAACCAGAAGTAATTTGGTTCCAAATAGGTTTAATGTCATTGCCTTCAACTTGTTAAACAGGGGAATGTGTTACTGAGAATACCGTGAGACCCTCCAGGTATAGTGAGACTCTCTCTATCTTCATAGTTTCTCAGATCACACACCTACCTTACAAGAATGGAGTTGGACCAGAGAACTTCTCAAAGATCCCTCCAGATCCTAGGATTCCCCAAAGATTGGAATTCTTGATTCTTGATAGTCACATGGTTCAAGCATCTTTCTGATTTCTATTCTTTGTCAGATAATATCACCACTGTGTGATTAGTCAGCCCATGCTGGATTATATGATGTGAGAAGGAGAAATAAGGCCACTTGGGAACCAAGGAGTGCTAGAGCAGAATTTGTTATCTCACTTAAAGTTATTTCTTGACGGATGGAATGTACTGATATTGAAATACATTTGTATTGCTCTTGCACTGTTTTATTCATTTATATTTTTATTGGATTCTTTACTGAGGACCCACCAAACATAGACACAAACTCTACAGTGAAATAGGCAAGTCATTTTACTTCTCCATGTCGTTACTCATATAATTGGTTAACCATGCTGCCTTACCTTGCTGATTAACTGTGATATTCAGAATCAAAGTGACAAAAAACTAAGGAAGTGTTTTGCCAACTGTGCTGTGATAGGTAGGAGACACTAGTTTTGAAGCTATGGGAAGACAAAGCTAAATAAAACAAGGTGTTTGCTCTGCAGGGTATCTCTAGATACCATCTAATGGCATGATGATTCCCCAAACTTTTAAGATTTGAAAAGTAAGCCTTTGTTGATATGCTAGAAAAAGTCAAGGTTAGCCTTATAGTAGGCCTTAACAAGTAGGCACAAATGATTCACTTGGTGTTGTTTTTCCTACAGTCCAAAATGCAGCACACTGGCTAATATTGGAAGGAGCAACATCTATAAGAATAAGAAAGACTATTCTGATGTAAGAGTGATTCATTTTTATCTTTGACTTCCTACAAGATATTACTATGAGTCAAATTGGTACCACCTCATATTTCTTCTCTGTGTTATAGATGTATGAGCCGGAAGGAGTGAAAATTTTCAGATGTCCATCTCCGATCTACTTTGCAAATATTGGTTTCTTTAAGCAGAAACTCATTGATGCTGTAAGGTTTGAGGGTTTATTCAACTTTTTTTTAAAAAAATTCTACTGAGTATCTGAGAATGAAATGTCTGTTCTTTAACAAGAAGGTCACTGAGATCACTTATGTTGAGAATGAGTTGCATCAGAGTTTTTGTGTTCCATGTCCTAGAGCAGGTGAAACTACCTTATAAGGGATCTGATGATATGTTGGGAAGTAAGCCTCTTGATACTAGGTTAATATAGAATCCTCTTATCAAAGTCTGTTGTAAACTAAAAATTATCATACAATTATAAGCTGCTGATTAATAATAGATGATACCTTCTTTTGGGTATCAAGGTCAGGAACCCCAAGGGAGCATTTAATATTTGATTGCATCCTTGGAGAGATTCAGGATAGCAAGTTAGGGTTTTTGTTTGTTGGTTCTTGTTGTTTTGTTTGTTTGTTGGGGCTTTTGCACTTGCAAAGCAGGTGCTCTACTGCTTGAGCCACACCTCCAGTCCATTTTGCTCTGATTATTTTGGAGATGGGGTTTCTTGAACTATTTGCCCAGGCTGGCCTCAAACTACAATCCTCCTGATCTCAGCCTCCCAAGTAGAGCCTTACTATGTAACCTAGGCTGGCCTCAAACTTATGATTTTCCTGCCTCAGGCTCCCAAGTGTTGAGTTTATAGGCATTCACCACCATGCCTAGATATTTTTTATTGTATAATTTGATCCTCCTCCTTTCTTCCTACTCTGAAGCTAAATATTGCAGCAAGAACAGATTTGTGTTGAAAAGGGAGAAATGAAGGTTAGTCCAGTCTAATACTACAGTTATAAAATAAAATCATGTAAGAATAAATTTTATAAAGTATAATCATAAACTTTAATAGAGCCAAATACTAATTAGGTGTCACCTATACTTAACAAATAGAAAATAAGCAAAAATTCCAAACACAAACAGATTGAAATAATATTTAAATCTATTCATGAATCAATTATGGATAAATCCTGGACTATAAGGAGGTTTTTGAATTTTGATAATATCATACAGGCTAAGCAAACCATAGGCTTGACACAACACTATTGGTCTTGTTTAAAACTTTAAAGTTTGTGTCACAAATATCCTCTAGGTCCTAATCCCTCAACCCACCCCAGCTAGTTATTACAATTATGCTATATAAATAGCAGAATATTCACTACTCTCATAACATGAGTGGTTTTTCAGGTTGGCTTTAGTCCTCTTCGAATTCTACGCAAACGCAACAAAGCTTTGAAGAAAATTCGAAAACTGCAGAAGCGAGGCCTGCTACAAGTGACAAGTGTAAGTTTCCTGATCATGTTCTCATGTGTTATGGCTGACAGCTTAGTAAAACATAATTCAAGCTGTTAGTTCCATTACTTTAAATGAAATGCCAGACAAGTAAGGTATTCCATGTGTCAATGTCATTTTTAAAACGTGTTTTGCTGTTGTTCTTGTTGTTTGTGGTAATGGGGCTTGAGATCAGGGCCTTCACCTTGAGCCACTCCACCAGCCCTTTTAGTGATGGGTATTTTTGAGAAAGGGTCTCACAAACTATTTGCCCAGGCTGGCTTTGAACCGTGATCCTCCTGATCTCTGCCTCCTGAGCAGCTAGGATTACAGGCATTAGCTACGGGTGCCTGGTTAAAATGCGTTTTTGAGGGTCTCAATTTTTTATTGTCCTGATAAAGTACCAGACAAGTATCTCTAATTCCTTTGCTCTACCCAATTTTGAATCTTTGCTTCAAACGTTCCTGGTAATTCTTGACATCCACACATTTTTCACAATCTGAATGATCATGCATATATTACCCTCCCCTGCAGAAAGGGTTCATATGTACTACTGAGAGTCTAAGGGAGCCCGATGAAGAGCTAGACAACAATCAGCTGGAAGAACTGGACCAGCCCATCAATACCACAGACCTGCCCTTCGAGATCGACTGGAATGAGGATCTTCCTCTCAACCTGGTGGTCCCCAAAATCAGCCTCCATAGCCTCATTCTTGATTTTTCAGCAGTGTCCTTTCTTGATGTTTCTTCAATGAGAGGTCTCAAAACGGTAATTAATTGTTTTCTTAATGGGAGCAACTAATCATTAAAGGTAAAAATTGTATTGATGGACAGATGTTCCTTTAGATAATATACAATTAGAAGTAAATTTTAATCTTACACTATTTCATAAAGAGATAGAAGTGATGAGGAGTGTTCAGTGGACTCTTTAGAAGTGTGTTTCCCACCAGGCACCAGTGGCTCATGCCTGTAATCCTAGCTACTCAGGAGACAGAGATCAGGAGGATCACAGTTCGAAGCCAGTCCAGACAAATAGTTCACCAGACCCTATCTCAAAAAAAAAACCTTCACAAAAAAGGACTGGTGGAGTGGCTCAAGGTGTAGGCTCTGAGTTCAAACCCCAATACTGCAAAAAAAAAAAAAAGTGTATTTCCCAAGACCACATACAATTGTGAAGGCAACCAAACATACACTTGTAATGTGTGTGGAACCTCCTGATAAACAACTGCTCTCACACTCCTAACAAATCTGGGCATCAGCCACGGTGCTTTCAGACCCCTGTGGGCATTGCACCTAGATTATCCTGAAATCAGACATCTGGAAATGTTGGTGGGGTGGAATAGTGAGTCCCTTTGTTCTGATCCTCATCCATTATAAGCTGATAAAATTTCACGTGGCTACTTAAAAGTAAGTCTAAAAATAGTTATATGAAAGAACAAATGTCACATGTGATTTAAAAACAGGACTAGAACAAGTAGGTTGTAGCCGTTTCTTTCCATAGTCTTGTCAGCATTTCTAAAACAAATGAGCGTCCAACAGAAATGCAGAAGCATAAAGAAAATTTAAGAAATTCTCCATCTTCCTCTATTTTTCTTCAGTTTTCACAGAAATCTAAGTGAGCTGAATTTAGATGAACTCTATTAAGGATGGGTGAGCTAGATATAAAATTAGAAAACTGAACCAATTTAGTTCTCTTCTGACTTAAATTTTAAAATATCGCATAACTCTCAAGATTGTTTGCTTTTTCTTTTTTTCTTAGTTTTTATTTTTGTTTAACTTAGGAGAAAACACACATACACTACATTCTTTTAGTCTGAACAGTTTAGCATACAGGACAAGGACTGATGGGCTTTTTTTTTTAAAAGACCTAGTTCTTAGTGCAGTGACTTGCAGAAGTTCTAAAAGTGTTAATTGATGATGGTGATATATTAATGATCACCTAACTTGATCAACAGTGGAAGCTACTTTTCTTATTTTGTATAATCTTGTATCACTGCTGGTATTTGTTTTTAGCCTAGAGACCCAGAAACTGGATAAAGATTCCTTGGTGATAGATACATGCAGCCACTGTGGATAGGAACAACAAGCAGCTATTAGACACAGTGTTTTGTTTTTCAGTTTTGTCTTGATAGGAAGCTCTGGTCCCAATCATCCCTATACAGAGTACTATGTTAAAATTTAATTAGAACTGATCTTGTGAGTTTGAGTCAGAACATTTTCTAATACTTCTCCCAAGAATGACCATTGTTTGCATCTTACTGAAAAGGCAGGCTCTTCCCTTCAGGTTTATTTTTTTCTGTTATGCAGCTTTTGTGTTTAAGTTTAGTACTTACTTCTTCTATTATCACTTTTCAAAATGTAAAAAGTTCTGAAAGTAATGTATGACCGTAAGATAGGAGTTTTCTCTGTTTCTGACAAGTGAAACTGCTCTAAAAAGGTATGCCTTTTTTTTTAACAGATTTTGCAAGAATTTATCAGGATCAAGGTAGATGTGTACATTGTTGGAACTGATGGTAAGTTCTTTGATTTATGAGACACAGTCTTGTTATTTTAAGCTAGAGATCCTTCTGCTGCTGCCTCCCAAGTGCTGGAATTACAGGTATGAGTCACACACCTAGCTAAAGATTTAGTGGTGCTTCCACCACCCCCAGTGCTGGATATTGAACCTAGAGCCTCAAGCATGCTAGGCAAGTACTCTACCACTGAACTACATCCCCAGCCTAGTTTCTTTTATTTCTATTTTTTGTTCTAAGAGTTGCTTCAGGCTCACTGCTAATGCTCAGTCTAGACAACCTCTCTCCAAAAGAACAGGTATTTTATGTGATCATCAAGAAGGAAATCTAATTTTCAGCTGACCCAACAAAAATCCCCATGGAAAGAGCATCTTTAGTTTAGCTGTGTTAATATGTGATTCAGTGAATTTTTGACTTGAATCTGAGTTTAATAGGTAGTAGGAGTAAATGTGCGATTTTTCACTCTAAACTTGTTGAAAAAGTAGTTTTCTGTCTTCCTCCCCTCCTTTGCTTTCCTTATTCTATAAAAACTCGGTTTCAGCTTCTGCTTGCTGATGAGGCCACCTCTGCCAAGGTTATCTACTGGTGACTTACAGTTTGTCAAGATTAATGGCCTCCTTCTCTGCCTCCTCCTACTGGTGTTTACTTGAGTGTTTGGCCCTTTCTGTAGCATTTTCTTTAAAACTCTCTTCCTCTCTGACTTCTGTGAGCCCATTCATCTGATTTACCACACACCTCTCAAGTAGAACCTCAGTTTATGACATTGGCTCCTCTCCCACCCCTGGCAGAGGGTTTTCCCCAGGCTTCAGCCTTCAACTCTACAGTTCTACTTCCGTGGACTCTTTCTAGTCACTCTCCTCCAAACGTATGACTTCAAGTATATCTGCATGTTAATGGAGTCCCCAAATTACCTCCAGCCCAGCCCTTTCAACTGTATCTCCCCAGGCACCTCAGATACATGTATTCAAAACTGTATATATAGCTCTCTCTCCCTAAACGCCTTCTTCTTTCCTTTCTCAGTCACTGCATCACTACTCACCCAGTTGCCCATAGTAGAAATTCTAGAACCATCCTGAATTTCTTTCTCCTTCGTCAGGTCCTAGAAATATTTCCTCTTAAATCAGTCTCATTTCTAGAGCCTAATCCAGACCCTTACTTCTCTTATCAAGGCCTTCTGGAAGATGTTTTAATCAGTGTATTTGTCCATTTCTAGCATTCTCTCTCACCTCATTTTTCTAAATAGAAAATTCCTTCAAGAATTTTTTCAACAATACTGTGAAGACTTCTCTTCTTTCCCAGGCAAAACAATAGGTCTTCATACTTTTTGCATCTGAGTACACACATATCACATTATTTTGTATTTCTGCGTTTGTGTCCCCAGTAGACTATGATCTTTTGTGGGGCAGGTATTGGTCTTGTTTTACCTTCTTATTCCCTGTCTCCCACCTAATTCCTAGGACATGACAAACATTCAGTGAGGACCTACTGAGTATCTGCCACTGGTTGACCATTGTTCTGGGTGTAGACACAGCAGTGACTGATAAGCCATTGCTCACATGAGGCACATAGTCTGTGGAAAGGCCAAATAATAAGCAAATAGAACCATATTTCAGATAGTGATAGTACAGGGTTAGGAGACACCGAGCAATGGACTGTACTGTTTTGGACTAGTGATCAGGGATGTCCAGTAATGTGATATTTGAGTGGAGACTGGAATGAAGTGTGGGCATCAATCTTGACAGTATCTCAGGGGAAAGCATTTTAGGGAGAGGTAACAATTGGCACATGGGTCCTCAAGGAGGCAGAAATTGGCATCTCCAATCTCTCCTTCTCCTGCTGCTTCTGTTGCCTGGCATCCCACTCAGTCTAACTGACATCATCATCAGTTTCCTTCCTATCCCCTCTCCCTCAGTTACCTGTTGAAAGCTTGCTTTCCAACTCCATCTTTTGTTCCTTCTCTCCATCTTTCTCTAAATTCTAGGCACTATAAAATGGTATCTGCTGAGTCAAGTTTTCTGATACCCTCCAAAAGCAAACAATCTTTACCAGCTTTCTCAGAATTTCCATAATACATGTCCTGAACCTCTCATTCATTCAACAAAAATGATCTGAGAACCTTTTATGTACCAGCATCACATTTAAAACTAAGAGAACAAGAAAGAGGAAAAAACTATACACTGCCCCTTGACCTCATTATTTTCCTTTTCCTTTCAGTACTATAGCTATAAATAAATGTTCTATCTTCCTTGAGGGCAAGATTCAGGTCTAATTTACCTCTTGATCCTCTTTATTAACTCTGCCAGAGCTTTGCACAAGGGAGACATTAAGTCTTATTTGGTTGACTGACCTGTGCAAACAAATGCTAGTTAATGCCTAAAAGAAGGGAATTTCTGAAAGGTGATGTAAGATACTAAGGAAGATGTTTCCTAAGAAAAACCAACCAATTTGGGAAAATGGTTGGTAAGAAACTGGTAAATATAGGTCTGCCCATCAACAACAAACATCTAAAAGAATGTTTCCTATTTTGGAAGAATCGCAATTTTTAATGATAAGCCTCACTTGATGTTCCAGTCATTAAATAGGGACATTAGCTCAATAGGCTACTGCTTAAATAAAAGTGAATTAATTTTCTTTTAGGACTGCTTAAGGTCTTCTCATTTGAACCTTTTCGGCTCATTGGGGTATTAATTATGTATGCATGTGTATTAGAAAGGTATTCTTCAATTCCAGAAGATATTGCACTAATGATACATGGGTATTGTGCCACCAACACCTAACAAATATCAATAAAATGCACATTCACAAATGGAATTTCAAATCGCAAGCCTCAAGAAATCTATAATCAAACAATTACTTCCTCCTAAGTGTTATGTTTACTTTGTTCTCTAGATGATTTCATTGAGAAGCTAGCTCGGTGTGAATTTTTTGATGATGAAGTCACGGACTCAATATTTTTCTTAACAATCCATGATGCTGTTTTGCATATTCTGATGAAGAGGGATTACAGTACTTCAAAACTGAATTCCAGTCAGGTACCAGCTCTGATGACATTCACATCTGTAACCAGCTATCTGCACTTCTTAAGTTTTTCTTTATATTTCAACATCTTTATTTTTTTATTCATTTATTCACATGTGCGTACATTGTTTGGATCATTTCTCTCCCCGCCCCCCACCACCCTCTCCTCCCCTCCCACCCTCGCTTCCAGGCAGAATCTGTTCTGCCCTTATCTCTAATTTGTTGAAGAGAAGACACAAGCATAATCTATATTTCCATTCTTTTTCTCAGGAAAAAGAAATGAAATTTGACTTTACCATCAATACAAATGGAGGATTACGTAATAGGGAATGTCAGGTAAGATTCTTCAACTGATTTATCTTCCTCCAAATGTTGCAGCAAAAAAAAAAAAAATTAAGTAGGACATCTTCCATTTGAGCCTCTGTTCCTCATCTCTAGAAATCAAAGGAATGCCACCAATCTCAGGGAATATTGAGGAAAATAAACTCTGGCCACTTTTTTTAAAAAGATGGGAAATAGGAAAGAGGGTCTGTATTAATATAATATTGAGCATGTCTTTTTGTTTTTCAAAGTACCTACAACCATCAACTTATTCTAGCTGTATAATAATCCATGCGGCAAGGAAGATACTGCCATAAATTAGTGATGAAGGCGACAAACTACCACACCCTCCTGACATTCAGGAGCATGGGAAGTTTGTAGTCAAGTCCCTTTCCTTCCTTACTAGAATGAGTTGACAATCATTTAACTGGATAGTTCCATTTCATTCTAGAACATTCACTTCTAAAACATTCAGACCTTTAAGTCAATGTTTCTGTCATAGGCCATGGTAGGTGCATTATATTCATTATTTTAATCCTTACAGTAATATACAAAGAAGGTATCTTCAAGTTAGAAATGAAAAAGTTGGGAAACAGGCTCAGAGAGCTTAACTAATTTGCTTAAGGTCACAGACCAAGTAACAGCAACAGCACTTAACTAAGATCTATCCAATGGCAAGACCTGTGTTCTGGTCACTATAGTATACCACCTCTATCCTTTGGTGAAAGACTAACGGATTGAGTACTGAGACGTAATCTAAGTACTTCAAGTACAGGAGGTGACTAGAGGTAGTTCTCCTAAATGAAGAGATGTCTAAGAATAACAAACAGGAATGTAGGTTAGAAATGAAGAGATGTATAACATAAGATAACCCTGGACCAGAGTGTTATCAAACAGCAAAGGTCAAATGAAAAGGTCATTCCAGAAATTTAAATAGACCTAAAGTGAGAGGAAGGCCTGGGTAAGTGCCATGATGCTGTCTCCCAGCAGTGGAATCCAGAGAAACCCAACCTCAGCACCTTGCCTGAGTACCCTACTTTAAAAAAAAGCTTCATCCCAGAAACCTCCTCCCCAGTAGCTGGATTCAGAATTGTCATTAAGTAATCAGGGATAAAGCATAACAGCATTCAAAGCTGATCTCTGATGCCAGCTTTTGAACCAATTAACAACAGAATACAGTCATCACCAAGCTCTATCTTGGCTTCTCATATTTAAAAACAGAAACCTTTAACCTCAGTTCCTGGCTATGCTCAAAGGAAGATAAGTCAGCAGTGACTGGGGGTAAAAGTTGAATGTGCCTGGCCAGCACACATGGACCCTTGGAGTTCATGTGGCCCCTGAAACAAATGTGAAAAGATACATTGCTACAACATATTGTACTGTTATTTTGATTAAGTTAGTCTTTGAGACACACATATTAAACATAATATGTGTTAATCAAGTAGTAAAGAAAATTATTTGATCATTAAAATTCAATACAAAAATTGTTTAACTGGTAAACTCTAGCTCTTAAGGTATAAGTTTTAAAAGGAGTAGAACTTAACAAATCTTTTAAAACAAGAACTTTCTGTCTTCTTCCAGGTACCAGTTGAAACGAAATTCTAATCAAACTACAAATTCAGAAGACTCCTAATCTGTCACATAAAGAACAACTTTATACCTAGAAAGTTATTGATAAGTTCATACATTGTATGAAGAATATTTTTGACAGAATTATGTTTCAAACTTTGGAACGAGATTGTTCTACATGGTATATTTTTCACATATCTAGTATGAAATTATGTAAATACTCATAATTTTATACCTTGTAGATTTATCAAGGGAAGAAAATTATTTTGTTTATATATATTTTTGTAGCACTGACAGATTTCCATCCAAGTCACTGCCTTCATGTATAATGTTCTGTGGTATATTTATACCCTGCTTTGAATCTCATAATTTATACAGGTCGTGCTAACATATCTCCATTTTAAAAAATTCAGTTGTACAGCAGATGTGTCTTATTAAATTTGTAACTTTCTGAAACATGCTTGCTGTGAGTCCCTTTTATAATGTTGTGATCAGAAAACTGCTACATAAGAATCTTTTAGCAAAACCACTGTAATGAGACTTCTTGGTCCACATTTTATGAATATCACTCCAGCTTTTTTAAAGCATCTAACTTTTATCCATGTTTAGACACAATCCTTGTTAGGCCGTATCTGTAATTTTAACTAGTCTTTAAGGCAAAACCTTATTGCCCCCTTCCTGATCTGAAAATCGTAGAAACTAGTGTGGGCTATAAAATGACAAAGTAAGAAGATGAAAAGTAAAGAGAAACCATGATGGTCTCACTGGGAGAAAACAGTGTCCATCCACACTTTTCACAATGTTTCTTAAGCTTTTTGTGTCATGGACACCTTATAAAGTCTCATGCACCCTGTGGATTTTAGGAGAAATTCACACATACGTCTCTAAATCTCAGGGTAAGAGCTCTTCCTTTATAGAGGGTATAAAGTAGGAACTGAAAACAGGAACCTACTTAAGTAATTGTTTGGCTTGGGGGTGGAACAAAAGATTCGTGCAGGATTGTCACTGATAATTGAATCTTCCCCAAGGTGCCCTCTCCATTCTTGCCAACCAAAATCACAGGGAACAGGTACAAGCACTCCAGTTCTTGTGCCCACACCATGACACATCCAACCTTAACATTTTAGAAGGTCACTTCTATTCTCAGCTTTGAATGTGTCTCTTCTCCTAGGCCTCTACCATGGATGTGTTGAGTAATGGGAATATGTGGGCCTGGATGTTTATTTCTGTGCTTCAGAACAAATAGTGCAAATTAACTAGTACAGAAATCTGACCCCTGATTTAGGAAGAGGTTAAGAGAACAAACTGGAATGAAAGAGGGTATGACTGGGAAAACAGAATAATCTGGAGAGAGACAAAAACATTACTAAAATTAAGAAATGTTAAAGCTAATACATATTCTTGCCTAACATAGTAACTTGCCACTTAAAAAATGTTCTGAGCTCAAGCCTGAAATCTATACTGCATGAACAGGAATAGAGAAGACGAATCATTAACTTTTTTTTTAGTATTTTCATGAATTTCACCATGTTGAAACTGTTGCTCCCCTTAATGTGCTGTCTCCGTGAATAACAACTCTTCAGGCTGCTCATGGCAAAAAGTCTGTCAGAGCCCAGCACCAGTGGCTCACACCTTTAATCCTAGCTACTCAAGATGCAGAGATCAGGAGGATCTTGGTTTGAAGCCAGCCTGGGCAAATAGCTTGAGAGACCCTATCTTGAAAATACCCAACACAATGACTAGCAGAGTGGCTCAAGTGGTAGAGCGCTTGCCTAGCAAGTATGAGGCTCTGAGTTCAAATTCCAGTAGTGCCAAAAAATAGATGTCAGGAGATCCTATGGACTATATACTACATAAAACATGTAATAATTTAATTCTCAAAATAGCCCTCCTAAGGTAGGTACTATGATTGCCCTCACTTTCTGGAAAAACCAGACTCAAAGAGGGTAAGTAACTAGTATAAATTACATAGTTGGAGAAGTCTGTCTAGACAATCCCACTCGAGAGTCCAGGCTTTTAATTATTAGGAAACATTACCTCCCAAATAAAATAAAATCTGTCTAAAAACTGATGGGTTACAAGGCAGGACTAAACAGGAATAATAAAGGTACATTCTGTAAATTTGTTCCAAAGTTACTAATTTAGCATTGTACAATTAAATGTAACCAGAAAAGCTATTAGGAAATATTTAGGATCAGAACATTTATTTCTCTTCCATTATGATTTTTTTTAAGATAATTTTTTTTTCCTGGCCACTATTCCTTGAAAAAAGAATATATGTAAAAAAAATCTATTAAGGAAAAATTTAGAAAGGGCCATTCAGACAATTCCAGGTAAACTCCTTAAGGCAGGGGCCATATTTACTTTATACATCATATACCCACATCTAACATCTAATAGGTGTTTAATTTTCTATGTGTATGTATATGTACGCACACATATATATCCTCCTACATGTCACCCAGTTGTTAATATCAGCAATGCTACCATCTCTTGTATAAATCACTGGAAACACCCTTCTGACTGGGCCATGCTTTCCTCTTTGCCTTACTAGTCTTTTCTCAATGCAAAGCCAGAACAATCCTTCTACAAGAAGTTTCAGCATCCCATTCCATTCTTTTGCTCAGGATACCACAACAGCTTCATATGTCTATCGGAGTATGGCCAAAGACTTTATGATGGCCTAGAAGGCTTAGGGTCTTCCCATAATTCCATTACCTTTTCTTTGGGGGGGAGCGGGGAGGGGAGCAGTGCTGGGTATCAAACCCAAGGCTTTGTGTATGCTAGGCAAGCACTACCACTGAGTGAGGCCCCAGTTTTTTACTTCCTCTTACTACTCCTCATTCTTTCCATCTTCTTGCTGTTACTCAAATATGCCGGGTACAATCCAACATTTGTGGACTCTCCTTGGAAAGGTATGGACTGTGCTATCTATGTTGTTTTTGCTTAATATCTTTGTTCAAATGTCATTTTTTCAGTACGTTCTAGGTTGCTAACTACTCCAATTATCCTTTTTTTTTTTCCTGTATCTTATCACACTTCTAACAAGGCATTTAATTTTATGATGTCTGGTGCCTCTCAAGTGCTTAGGAGAATCTCTCAAAGGCAGAGTAAAGGGAAAAGGGGCTTAAATGTAATATGAAGGATGGTGCTTACAAATACTCAGAATACACCCAGATTATTCTTAGGTCATAAGTTCAGAATGACTGATTGTTCTTAAGATAGACCCATCCGAGTATGAGAACTAAACTCATCACTTAACTGTTTCAATCTTGTGATTATATAATGCCTAAAAGCCCTAAGTCTTTTGGATATTGGGACTACAGGTAACTTTTTTCTTTTCTGCAGTTTTCCATACTTCAGAAATAATATGTATTTCTTGTTTTAGCCATAAAGAAATTGAAATACTTTTGAGTGTCTACCAAAATTTTTAAAGCCCTAATTTTTTAGAGATGGGAAAAATTAAACTTTAATATTGTTATTTTAAGCATTCTGCCTTAAAGCCTTTTCCCTTAAAGGTGGAAAACAAAACAAGGCACATAAAAAGCCTGAATCCATTTTTACCAGTAGCACTACCGTGTAATTTATCTGGCTTACCCTCCATTCTTAGTATATCCAATCCTTTTTTTAGATTGTGCAGTTATTGAAATAATTCTGCTTGGTTTCTAGGCTATAATTTAACAAATTAGTTACAAACCAGTAAACAAAAATAAATTCACTTTAATCAGAACGTAGTATGTTCATGTGCCACACTTCACTTAACATCGATCTGCTAATTTGATACCTAATCTGAGAAATGGTTTTGTTATAGGTACTTGTGAAATTTTTTGCCTGTATTTATAAGACTTTTCCCCCCAAATTAGTAAAGACAGGACTGTAGGGATTTTCCAAACAGATGAATGACAGCTACTTTTCCAATGTATTTGTTAGAATTAGCCTTAAAGCAGTTCCACATGCTTCATACAGTAAGTTTATAAAATGTTTAAATATCTATTTACATTTCAGTTATATTCAATTAGTGTTTAAACAGTTTTGACAAGTGGTTTTTACAGGGGAAAACAGATAGTTTCTTATAGTCTTTGCAACGGATTTTCCTCCAAATACTACACAATATTCAACTTAGAGTTTAGTCTTTTAAAAAGTGAGCCTAGTTTTACTGTAGAAAGTTGTATCAACATAATAAACAGAAAAAATTCTGCATTCTCCCAAATGTATTGTTATTAGGTAAAAACTCATCTAGGCAAAATAGTATTTATGCTTCCATTTTATTGTTTTTAAGAATTAAACTGCCACCTCAGTAGTCTTAAGAGCAATATAATGAAACATACATTTAGATTTATGTCCATCATAGCTTCAAAGGCTTCCCTGAAATAAGGCTAGGATTCACATCTTTTTCCTTAAGGAAAAAAAAACACTAACAGTAATTTTGTTATCCTTTTACCCACCAACCCTCATTCAAACAACGGATGAATTCAAGTCTAACACCATTTAAGACTTTTGTCTGCCACAAGACATTCACCTGACCTGCCTCACTGCGTGTTTATTAAACCTAACTGAATATAAATCATTTTTTAAAACTCCAAGAATTCTTGTAAGGTGAAATGTTATCATTATAGTGATTATTTGTTCAAAACATAGGCTAAGTGGTTTCTGACCACATCCAATGCTAGTAAGTTTCAATAATAGTGGGAGAACTCTTCACAAATAGTTGAGAAGCTCTAAAGTGAATTTGGCTACTTTCTAATTATATGAAACAAAGCATGATTTGGGTATTTAACAATATTCTAGTAGCTCCTAAACAGGGGCACGAAAACAAATCAAGTTTGTACCAGTCCAAGTACCTACAGTAACATGATAGAAGCACTCACCACCATTTCACACTATTTCACTCCCATGCTTCTAAAAACAAGAATTTCTCACTAGAAATAGTGCTTTAACAAACTAGACTCTCAAACTGCTAAGCATGAAAAATCACCTGCTTAAGAAAAGTGTATTATGTTATTTTTGGCCAGTCAAGGTTGAAATGGCCATTGATA